GGAATCCAATTTGGGGATTCTATGAGTATTATGGAGAAGGATCAATATTGGAAGCTGAACTTAAAGCCATGGAAACTGGGCTGAAGTTGTGTTGGTCACAGGGGTGCAGGAAGGTATGGGTTGAGACTGATTCTAAGGTGGCTATCTCATTGATTAAGCAGAATATAGGTCCATGGGAAGTCCAATATACATTACAATCAATTCGAGGTGTGCTGGACAAAATGGAAACCATACTTACTCATATTTGGAGGGAGGGTAATCAAGCTGCCGATTGGTTTGCATCCAAGGGATTCGCTGACAGGAAATTCAAGTTTGTTGAAGCACAAGAGTTCATGGGTAGAATCAAAGGAATTGTGAGGCTAGATAGGATTGGCATGGAGAGTATCAGACTTGTGAAGTAGATTAGTTTTGTTTTGCTGTATGTTTTGTAACCTCCTTTACTTTGTATTTGTTTTTTCATGAATAAATGCGTATCCTACGGCTTGGATTTTCAAGCTAGGATATTTTATCAAAAAAAAAAAATTTGTACATCGTCATTGAGCTTAATTACAAAATTAGTTTTTGGACAATCAATGAAGTTGGGAGAATGTATGTTAATTCCATCCTCGTTAATTGCTACATATTCGTTTGGTTCCTTTTTTATTAATTTGTCATTCTCTTTAAACCATTCTTCAATAGTTGATATGTTCTCGGATTGAATGACAGGTCTATAATCTAAATTCATGAGCAAGACAAGTCTTTCCTATTAACTTTTCCAAGTGGATTATACCTTTACCTTTTTAAATCCGTTCCCGTACATGGCATCTCCTACAAACATGTTGCTGTTATCAAACTTGGTAAGTTCATTATAATTTTTGCAAATACCATCTCGTTCATAGAGGAGAGCCATCTCCAACAACTATGACGTCTTCGTTCCAATCGAAAGGTTTGTCAAGTGTTTATTTTTGACATCTTAAATATTGTCCATACCAAAAGAATTTTGACAAGCATCAATAACAGAATATAAACATTGTCCAGTACAAGGCATCGCATAACAAATTTCAGAGATCTCCTCCAAACATATCTTCATCGTCCATGTAGAAATTAATCATTGTAAAAGTTTTGCTACTTTATCATAGTCAAAATTACGCATAAAATGCTTAATAGTATATGAAAAAAACACCAAACATAAGTATTAAGACTGTGGTGAGTATCAAAAAAATTATTAAAACTAATATTACTTAAAGTAGTAATCAAAGTAAATACATTCATTGACAGCCAAAAACATGGTCGCTAAAAAAATGTATACTGCAAGCACATGGGTAGCGTAAAAGTAATATAAGTGGACTAATGAGTCCGTATTGTCGATCCCGCAAGAAATGATTACTTAGCCCTTGTTTGGTGAGAATAAAAATCAATTTGTTAAAAAAAAAATTATAAAAGTTGATGAAATGTATGATTGAAAAGCCGTAGATCTCAGAAAATGTGTTGTTAAAATTAATTGTTGACTTTGACTTATATTAAAATTTTAATTTTAATTTCTATCGAACAAAGAGTTGATTACACAACAGTTAAATTTAATTTTAACAATAGAACACAATAAAATTTGGATTTTGAAAATAACTTAAAATTCTACAACAATAACAAAAAGAATAAATCTAAAAATTAAGGAATGTTGGAAAGATAAAGTAGTTGGAATTCATGATTTCACTTAATCTTCGCCTAATTAATTTCTCAATAAGCCTTGAAGCTAATTATTTAACTACTATGTTAGACCTGACCTTCTCATTTTAATTAATTATCTTTCTCGCATGAAATTAGT